TTTTCCTCAGCATGAACATCCACACTAATCTGCTGTGGGTCCCTCTAACATGCTGTGTTGTCTCCTATGCTTGGTGTTGTGAGCATGATACCAATTCAATGACTGCCTCAAAAGGGGTCTTTGTGGGGGAATCTGTGTGTTTCCAACAACCAGATTATGCTGTTTATAGAGGGTGTTTCTTCATTGACAGGAATGGCTAAATTTAAAGAAGAAAATAAATTGGAGTAATTAGTCAAATAATTGTGGATCATAATACCTATGGCCAGTGAGGTTACCTGTGATTGTCTGAACTATGTCCGGTACCTGTGAATTCTATGTGGCAATGAGACTTTGTCATGTTTTATTAATTAAGAGATCATAGGATGCAAAAAATATCCAGGATAAAGTGGGTGGGTCCTAATGTTGTAAAGTGTCTGAATTAGAGGGAGGCAATGGACATGAGACTCCAGGGGAACAAGAAAGTGACTTGACCATTGACATCAGGTGACCTATTACATGTTGTGGAGAATTTTCTATAGACATGGATGTTCACCACACATAATGAGTCTTTATTTGATTGTTTCCTCAGTTTTCATTTTTAATGTTTGATGAGTGGAATAGGTAGTCAGACATTATTTTATTTTTTATTTTCCAGGTTACAACCGATGACTCATTCCTGCCATTCCTCAATCTGACCAACATGGAAAACCTGAAAAGAAAGCCTGGGTTTCCTCTCAACATGTAGGCCCTGCACGTCCACTGCAGCCCAGCCCACTATCTGTAGAGGAGGGTCCTTTCTGGCCTCACAGGTCTTAGACTTTTCAGCATCTCCAGTTCAGAATTAATGGTTGTGCCCTGACATGAGAATACCCCCTCAGGGACCCCATATGCTTCTACATCTCTGGGCAGAGAGAACTGGCCTTACTAAACAGCAGTGGCTGTGCACAAAGCCCCCAAGTCAGGTGACTTTGATGCCACCAAGGAGCTTTCCCTGGAGCTGTCAGATGCACTGATACAGCCAATACCACTGATTCCAGAACCTCTTGGGTATTTTGGGGGCCTCTACATCCCTCAGGTTCCTCTGCTTGCAGGTTTCATCTGAGGATACCTGCATGTCACCCTCATAACACTACACTACTACTTATCAACAAAGCACACATAAACTAGCACTGTGATGATTTTCAAGGCAATGGACTCCAGGTTTTCCTTCTACCCTGTTCCTAGCAGACAGGCAGTGCCCACTCTTGGATTCTAGGTCTGGATGAGAGTTCCTAGGTGAGTGGGGTCAGCCCTGTGAGGGACACCCTGCTTTTTCATTCATTTTGCTGAGCCATCCTGATGGCTATTTTTCCTTCTGACCACTGTTGTACAACTCAGACAGCTGCATCCCACGGGGTGACATGTTCACTGCTCAGGGACCCACAGCAGCCCCTGTCAGTGGCTGCAGGAACCACAGCATCTTCCTGCATCTGGGTCTCTAGGTCAACCCTCATAGATGTTCCTGCACTGATCAAGGTGTCACAGTTGAGAACTCAGATACCACTGGCCGTTACTCAGGCTCCCTGTCAAAGGTGGACTTTTCTAGACTCAGGCATGAAGGAGCTGTGCTGATGTCCCCCATGTGGGCTTTGTGTCCTCCCAATCCAGCTTCCTGGCAGGCACTGAGTTCCAGCTTAGTTCCAGGGACTGAAAAGTGCATCTGTCCCACTTTTCACTGTCTGGAGAAAGTAACAGGTGGGTCTTACCTAGAAGAGTGCTGAGAACATGCCCATTTCCACAGGACTTTCCACCTGTGCTGGATTTCTCAAACATGTGTCAGTTATGTGAGCTACCATCTCATTTCAGCCACTGCAAATGTAACCTCTAGGTTGATGTTATCATCATGTCTTACACAATTGGGAACTGCATTAACTGAGCATCCTTTCTAAGGAACTGTTAACAGTAACATGATAAAGCAAAATAATCTATCATTACAGTAATTGTATGTCATAAACAGGTGCAATAAGCCATCAGGAATAACCAGCAATTTGTGACCCCACTATGGTTAGACCTCTGAGTCAGTGCAGCTCACAGATCGAGGTAGCAGGATGGAACATGGCAGTGCAAGAGGAAGAACTCAGGAACCAAGTGTTCCCTGGCTGAGAATTTCCATCATGAGACAGACTCAGGGCTTGGGGTCTCCTGGAGAACTTGAGCCTGGAATGAGTCACAATGTGTTGTGCATACAAGGTTATGTGGTGCACACTTCACAAATGAAGGGTTCTTAGTGTGAGAAGGTGAGACTTGAAGAGCCCTGTTCTAATACTGTGAAGGCAGCCATTCCAGAAAAAGACATACCTGGCTCATTTCATTGTCAGAATTCTGATGGGTTTGGACTCCACACAATCACCTTTGCACTGGACCACTGACACTGCATTTCAGACAACTGTTTGCACAGCTAACAGGAAATATGTATCCTGAATACAGGATTGAAAATTGCAGACAATCCTTACAATTCACACTACCATATAGAGCTAAAGACTAACTTATCTTGTCAGCAATGATTGAAGTTTCTCCCCTCTAGTCCTGTATCTGCATCCCTCTCTTTTCCAAAAACACCACTTGCCTTCCCTTTACTCAAACCACTATCAGGGTTTCTGCCTGAACTAATACTTCCCAATAGCTTTTCATTTTGATCTCAGATAAACATTGGTTGGTGCACATATTACTTTTTTTATTTTTACAGTATCATTACAATAATTAAGAGGGATCCTACTCTAAGACACTGCCTGGATCAATCTCGAGAATATCATATTAAGTGTAGTAACAGAAGAACAGCTGAGCAAACACCAAATATACCTATTAACTCAAGACCCACATAGAGTCCAGGCAAAGAAGGAGAAGACAATGAGGTGGTTGTACAGAGCTCATAGGAGGGACACGGTTGAGCTGATTTTCAGGGAAGAAGCACCCTTCTATGCAGGATGGATAGGTTTCAGAGGGCAGCTGCCCATTGCTGCACCTGGGGTTAAAAACAGCATGTACTTTTGGTTTGTTCCAAGGGCTGATTTTATTTGGAATTCTCACAACACAAAAGGACAAATGGGACTTCAACTCCATTGTCATGGCCTAAGAGCTACAAGGTCTTTATTAAGAGTCAGAATGCAGAAATTATTTTAATTGCCCTACTGTGTCTGGAGATGGTCATATTGGGCACCATCGAAGAAGTGTTTACTTCAGAAAACAAACTTTCTGTGGGAAGAGCTAGGCAACAGAATTGAAGGCACACACCCTCCTTTCCCTGTCCTAGTGCAGAAATACCATTCAAGACAGTGTGTTCAAGAGCACAGACTCTGTGATGCCAGTTCCTGGTCACAAGTCTCTATTTCCAGAGGAGAAGATGTCATTGTCCCTCATTCAGTACCAACCTGTCGTTTGCAGAAGTTGAGCTCCAGGCTGGTGCCATGAAAAGACAAGACTCACTTCATCCAAACCAGCCCCACTACTAGGATATAAGTCCTGTCCCCAGGAAAGCATCCCTGGGACCCTGAGACCCTGGCTACCTCACCCTGATCTGCCTGGCAGGGTACCCCTGCCTGTACAGGCAGGCAGGCTAGTGAAGGGGAGTTGCCAATGCACTCAGGGGTGTATACTCAGCTCATTACTGTGTGCATGATGAAGCCACCTTTTCCCTCAGTGGCTGCTGAATAACTTGCCCCAGACTTTTTTCAGGAAAAAGGCAAGAAATCATCTATCAGGTCAAGTTCCAGATCTATTCCCATGGAAATGATATCATTACCAGCAGCGTGTGGAGGTGCTGGTGGTCTGGCTGTGGTTAAAAGCACTTGCAGAAAATGGGGTATCAGTGGTGTGTCAGCTGCCCAGGGAGTCCTGTGCCTGAGGGAAAGACACTAAACTGAGGCACCTGGGGAAGACAGATGCTGTCAGGACAACATCAGACCTGGTTGTGGACAGCATGCATTCACAGCAGCCTCGAGGTGTTTCTGCCCAAGTGTGCTGCCATCTGTCACTCAGGACACAGCTGAGAATGAAAGAAATGTCAGACTTCAAGAAGTGTAGATTCCTACCTAGAGACAGGGAGAAAGATAGAGACAGGTCAGCTAGACACTGCCATCAAGGTGGCTATGTGAACATCAAGGTGGCAAGGTCATAAACATTTATTGTGTCTGAAGCTGACTCCTTCCATAATGACTGATTGCAGAGATCCACCAGCATTGATGTCTGTACTGATGGTTGTTATTTTCACTTCTGAGTAGAATTGGATTTATGGGTGTTCCCTCATTTGCTTAGTTCAAAACTAAAAGAACTTCTGTGGGGTTTGTATCTTTTAACACATAAAGAAGATTGTTCTATATATAAATTGTTCTTCCACAGCAAACACTCCTAGTGGGAACTGAAGGTCACACAGTAAGTATAATTTGATGAGAAACTATGATGCACTAAGTTACAAGAAAATAACAGGCCCTAGTTGTGGTGCCTCAGTGAATTGAGTGCTGGCCGGAAAGCCAAAGTGTTGCTGGTTCGATTCCCCATAAAGCACATGCCTGGGTAGCAGTCCTGGTCTGCAGCAGGGGCAGCACAAATGCAGCCACACATTGAATTTTCTCTCCCTCTTTCTCCTTTCTTTCTCCTCTATAAAAGTAAATAAATAACCTTTAAAAATAAAAAAAATAATAACACAGTATAAAATGACTTGATGGAGAAAATTCAGTGCTGATACTGTATTAGCAAATGGACATTGTCACTTTATCATTTATTTTCTGCAGTGAAAATCTGATAAATTAGATTTACAGAGAAGAGGGAAGAAGTGTCCCTGGATACATGTCAGTGCTCTGAAAGAAAATGCCTTCTTGCAAGGGGAAGCCCTTTCCTTTCCCACCCAAGTACACACTTGTCTTTTGGGTTTAGCCTCCTCTCTGTGAGATCTGAGTGCCCTCTTGTGTCCTAAGCACTTCCTTCAACCCAGCTCTCCTGTCTCCTGCAGGAGGTTTCTGTCTAGGCTCACAATGACTTCCACTCACTGTGCCTCCTGTACAGTAATACACGGCCGTGTCATCTGCTCTCAGGTTGTTCAGTGTCAAATAGACTTGGCTCTTAGAGGTGTCCCTGGTGATGCTGAGTTGGGATTTCAGTGCTGGGTTGTAGCTTGTGCTTCCATCCCTCCATATAGCACCAATCCACTCCAGCCCCTTCCCTGGAGCCTGGCGGGACCAGCCAACAGCATAGCTCATTAAAGAGAATCCAGAGACTGTGCAGGTGAGGGAGAGGGTCTGTAAGGGCTTCGCCAGTCCTGGGCCAGATTCCTGAAGCTGCACCTGGGACAGGACTCCTGAGGACAAGGAGAAGCAGTTTATGTCAGTCACATGCAGTCACCACCATCCCACAAACTCATGCCTGACATCTGAGACACTCACCATGCAGTGCTGTTACCAAGCACAGGAAGAGACCCAGCAGTGTCATCTTCTTCTAGAGCACAGCTCTGCCTTCCCCAAGGACCATGTAGTGGGAGGCCTTTGAGCCCCACACAGCCCAGGGGATTATTTGACCAGGAGTAGGTGGGGAAATTTGCATGTGGGAAAGCCTTTCCTGTATAAGTAAAGAGGGACTGAGGTCAGGCACCCTGGTTCTTCTGAGACCTCTGTCAACCTCTCCCTCCCCTCAAACTCACTGAACATATAAGTCAGAGATAAGAAAACTTCAGTTCATGAGATACATGAGCTATGCAATGTTGGACTAGATGAATAGGTGAGTTTTTAAATCTCATGCATCTTTCAAGCAGGTTTCAAATGGATTACCACTGTTTCATACCATTTCTGAGCCAAAACTAGCATATCCATAATTTCCAAAATTTTGTGTAATAATTTCATACAAATAATGTCTGCATTGGTAAAAAAAATAAATTCAAAAATGAGAGATAGTCATTCTCAATATTTTGTTTCTTAATTTATGATGTCCCTTTGATCTTAGAAACTCTCCACTATGCACGGGCAGGCTGCATATTGTTTTATTCTTCATGTTGCAAGTTCTGTTCTTTGGCTTTGAACTCCTTGGGCAAACTATTCCCTTATGTAAACCCAGGGCACACTACAGAGACTCCAAAATTATCCTTTCGGTATTGGTACCCTTTTCACATGAAGACAAGATTGAAAATAAAAGAATAAAGTACCCCAGTGTACAATTAAGAGCATTTAATATGGTGAAGGATCATGGCAGCAGAATGACTGACTTTTATTCTCAGTCTTGTTATCAGAGGTGTTGAGTTTCAGAGGGAGGAAAATCAAGAGAATTTCTGACATTGATTTTCTCACAAGAAAGGAAACTTCAACTCTAACAGGGAATACTCACTTCCATCCTTTTTTTACCCTGTTTCTGGTGATGGTCAGTGAGGTCAGGGGGTGCTGGGCTCCCACAGGCAACATAGGACATTCTTAATGTATAATAAACATTTTTCTCCTGTTGGACTAAAGATTTCAAAATATGTTCATATTTGTCTTTTAATTGCCTTAATGGAGCTTTGTTGGGAGAAATTCATTTATTATTAAAATCTAAAATGTTACCACTTTAGTACACATTTTATTGAGGGATTTCTACATTAAAAACTCTCCTAGAAGTGTTCATATTCCATTTCCTATGCTGATTGGTTACACCAGACATCGGGACTAGAAGAGAATCTGTTTCCAGAAGGGGAGGGCTGCTGGAAAAATATCCACAAATCTGAGCCTGACATTGCAACCAGTAAAGGGAGGCTGGTGGACTACTTTTGTGCCACATGACACAGTTATGCTTGATTTTCATTAATAGAGTGTTACTGAAATATGGGTATAGAGGACCCAGAAGTAAGTACAGGGGATGATAGATACAGAGTATATTATCTTAGAAAGTACCTAAGTAGTTAATGACAGGAATTTCTCAAAAACAGAAATACTTGAAATTCTCCCTGTAGAGATCAGGGGACATAAGGAAGATGTCATTAGAAAAGGGTGGAAAGGGGATTCCTTGTGCCTGTCAATCACATTTTCACAGTGTTTCTGCTACATTTTGTAACAAAGCCAGATGTTCAGTGGTTTAGTAGTTGGACACAGTTAAGCTCATGACAACTCTGGGACCCCCATGAATTATCAAAGTTGAATAATTTATTTGTGAAATTTTGCAACACTCACAAGGAAGGGAAGACATTTCTCAGAGCAGGAGGCATGATGATAGTGTGTATGTATGAGGAGCCATAGCTTCACTGAACCAAGACCTCTCTCTCAGTCCATCTTTTTCATCCTAATCTTCACCTTCATCACCACCTAACCATCATCATCATCAACACGAACACCACTGTTTTCATTTCATCACCATAATCATCATCATCATAAAGATCATCATTAACATCATCATCATCTTCATCATTACTTGCTTATGATCATTCTTATATTCTCTAGTCATAGCTGTTATGCACGCATAATGATTTTGCCTTATTTTTTGCACCCTTTTGCTCAGTTTCTGGTCCTTATGTGGAATAGATAGTCAGAAATGTTTATTTTATTTGATAACTGACCACTGATATGGCATCTCTGTCTCTTCTCCATCTGCACCACACAGAAATCCTGATAAGATAAGAAAGCCTGGATCTGCTTTTAGATGTCATTGGGAGAGTGAAACCACAAAGGTCCCTGTAACTCATATACCCTCTGACAACACTTCAACAAAATAAAAGTCCTAAGCCAATATCATTTCCTGGCTCTGCCAAAGCATGTCTGACTTGCTGAAGAGCTTCTCCTGTTTCTCCCAGAGATTTCAACTCTGTGCACAGTGATCACTCCAAATTCCCTTGGTATGTGGGCTTGTCATCAGCCTGGAAACCCGCACCAAGCTGTCATGCATCCTTCTGCCTCTGAGTCATTAAAGGCAGAGTCATGAAAACTACTCTAGGTGTGTGAGCATGATGCCAAGGCAGTGACTGTCACTACATAGGGGCTTTCTCCTCTGCTGTTGGATTCAAATGCCTCTGGTGCTAGTTGTCCAACGTGCACATGTTCTGCTGCTGGCTGGCTTAGACACTGAGCTGTGTGTACCTGGGCTGCACTGCTGGGTCCAGCAGAACCTCAGGTTAATCTGAGTTGACCTAAGTCTGAAGATATTAATGTTTCATTGGATTTGAACACTATATTTTCTGAAAGAGACAGCATCTTTTCTACACTTGGGGATTATTCTGTTACAACAGAATTTTCTAACTCCTACATTTCATAAGTGAGTACAAAATCGGGAATGCAGACATGTTGCCTGTGAAAGATTGTTACAAGCAGAAAAACTGCACAAGAAACCAGCCCAAACTTCCAAGTGCATCTTCTCCAGGGAAGGTCTTTGTTTTCAGGATCCCATGTACCCCGTAGTGGTCATGGCTCCACCTGTTCTGAGGTTTGTGTCTGGCTGTAGGTTGACTTGTCCTCACTCTGCCTCTTGCATAATCGTGCACAACCATTTCCTCAGCTCACGTGCTGTTCATGTGCAGTTTTAGCATGCTCCTGGCATTGACACAGCAGATGGTAAATTTGGGCCTTCACAGAGGGGCACAATATGTGATACTTTTATCTACATTAATGTCTGAAACCCACTCCAAGCCTATCTCAGGAGTCTAGAGGACCCAGCACATCCAGGAGCTATTGAAGGTGAATCCAGAGGCTGCTGGAGAGTCTCACACCCTCCCAGGCTGCACCAATCCTCCTCAAGACTCTATCACCTGCACCTGGCACTGGACACTAGCAAATACAAGCTGTACCTCACCCTGGACATCCTGGTTAGAAAATAATAACCCTTCCACTGTACCTCTCAGACATATCCACCCACATCCACAGTATCTCTTACTCTCCATAAATTTCCTCTTAAAATAACACAAAGGAAACCCAGCTAAGGCCAAAGTCCATGGTTAGCCATCTGTGTTCTGCCCTGAGGAGGGACTAGGGACATCTGGGAATCATGGGCTGGGCTCCAGTCCTAGAGCAGTAGGTTTGGGACTAAGCTCCTTTCCACAGCATGATGCCAAGCCACTGACCATCGTCACTGGTGAACTTTGTCTCCAGAATTGGGTTCATAGGTCTCTGGTGCCTGCTGCCCTGCAAGCACCTGGTCTGCTGTTGGTTGGCTTGGACACTGAACTGTGTCAGATAAGGCTGACTGTTGAGCCCAGCAGAGCCTGTGGGTAGATTTAGGCATCTGGGACGAAAGGTCTGATGATTCATTGGAATTGAGCACAAGTAAGTCTGAAGAAGACTGTGACTTTACTCCATATAAGAATATTTTCTACATTACAAAGACTTTTCTAACTCAGGGACTTCAGGGGTGAATAAAGAATCATGAATTCAGAGAGGTTCCCTGAGAGAAACTATTTATGAAGAGGAATCCAGACAGGACACACCCTAAATGTACATCTGTTCCTGCTCCTTGGATGGTCCTTGTGTTCACGGACCTCATGTGCTTCCTAGTGACCACAGCCTTGGTCATGTCCATGGGGCCACATCTGGTAACAGTGGGCCTAGATTCTAAGTCTGTACCCTCTCCGCTGTCCCCTGCTACTCTCCTGTCTCTAATCCAGGGCAGAGTGAAACATGCTTAGTGATTTTGTAACACCACTTTTCTATAATAACATGAATGTGTGTTGGTGTGTGGTACATTCTGGGACTGTGTGCACCTGTGGACTAAGTCCTCAATACAATGAAGAAGCTTGTGCATCACCTGTCATATATTTCTACATCAGCTGAGTTAAATAAGGGTCATGTACAACATTCAAAAACAAGTGATGATACAGTCTCTGTGGGGTCCAAGAGCACTATCATTGACCCACATAGTCCTTGTTATTTTCTCTCTCCTATCACGGGCCTGAGAAAATTTTAGACCTTCATGTAAATAGTTATTATAATGGGAGTGTCAGAAGGTCCAGTGTAAGTGTCACTGCTGTGGCTGGCCTTGTGTTCAGACTTAGATCCAACATTTTCCCCTCCCATGCACTTTTTTTTTTTTAGTTCAGCAGGTAAGAGAGCACTCAGAATGCACACATGCATCATCAACCAATGTCACATAGTGTTGATCAAAGGTGAATAGATATTGTCCAGAAGTAACAACTGCAAGGACATTGGGGTCTCCTTAAGTCAGGGTCTGTTAGACAACATGATTCTAGGTGGTCAGGACAACCTTGTGCTTGGAACCTAAACATCCAGTGTATATTAACTTGATTAACTAGAAGACATTCTTAGCAGGACAGGCTTCAAAGGAAATAATGCATTATTTTCCTTCATGCCTGATTTCCCTGGGGGGCCAACTGTGCCCATATATTGGTTCATGTCTGCCGGTCAGTATTCCTGGTTTTCAAGTTGAGACCAACAGGTCAGCCCCTGCACATGCAGGGCTACAGTCCCCAATACCAGGCAGGGTGGTCCCCCACATGTGGGTACTAGGTCTCTGTGTGAGGCTTGTTATAT